TCAGTGATAAAGCAGGTCACCGGAATGAAAGAGAGGTTCCTGAATACACAGCGATTTTCTGGTTATCATGAATGTTTGCCTAGAGGACAGAACACTCTGTATTTCCTCGATATTTTAAAATGTAGCAGAGTTTAGTATAAGCCTAGACGTTGAAGCAAGGAAGAGGCCTAATCAAATGGGTAGATTTTATTGAAATGTGGGAAATAATGTTGGATTAAGTACCATAGGCTATTTGTCCAAAGTGCTGCTCGCTCATCAGAATGAGTTTTTTCTTTCCTTTGCTTTCTTCCCACATGCTCATCTTGTTCTAACCAAAAGAGAATCCCTAAGCAAAGAAGTTAGGTTTTTCTTTTGACTGCCTCATTTGAGCAAATTAAACACCCCAGACAGAAAAGAACTAAATAAACTAATTGCTGACTTCAGCATTTATTTTTAAACAGATCTTTTCAATGCTCTGCAAAAGTCCCAGAAATACTAAATTTTTTTTTCATTTTATGATTTCTTTAAAATTTTATAACATGTTTGTAATTCCTTTGCTGAGAAATTCTTGTGTTTTCGAGCTCAGGGGAATTGGGTTTTCCTCATATCCCCCAAAGAGCTATGATATTTTTGCAGGGGAGAGCAGCTAAACTGAGACCTCATTTTATCTTAAAACCCTATCTCCTGGGCTGCTTCTAGCATTTGCTGTGGCTCTTTTCTGCACATCATTATTTGAAGCTTAGAAATCAAAACTCAGATCTGCTTCCTCAGAGGACTTTTCTGTACCTGTGTATCATCAGCTCGATTCAAATGCCCATCTTGCATTTTCTTGTAGATCTTGATGAATGTGCAACAAAGCAGCACAACTGCCAGTTCCTGTGTGTTAACACCATTGGTGGCTTCACCTGCAAATGTCCTCCAGGATTTACCCAGCACCACACTGCCTGCATTGGTAAGTGGAAAAGGAAAATCCCCCATATGGAATGTAGCTGTTCCTTTAAGGGATTAGTTTCTATTTCTTCTGCTTTTCAAATGAGAAGACAATTTTTTTTTTCTTTTTTTGGAGAGGTTTTCGCTATAGGGCACATGCGCTCGCCAGACAGACAGAGAGAGACAGAGAGATAGAAAGCGAGAAATCACCCCCCAGGGGGGATAGCCACGCCGCAGTTCCTTCTCCATTCTCCTCTTGGGATCTTAGGCACGCATGCACATGTGCCTAGTGTGAGTTTAAGCAGCCAGGTCCAGGACTTGAACTGCAGTTGACTACATGGAAGTCCAGCAACTAACTGCTGGTCCCAAACAATTTTTTTTAACTGTGTGCATGTGTGGGCGTGCATACACTCATGCATGCCCTTGGGTGCACGTACATACATGTGAAAAGTTATTAGTCCAGTTTGGCCTTTTTGCTCACTTTCTTTGAAAGAACACAAAGAGAGCTTTGGAGAATTTTTTTTTCTTTTTTTTTGCTATAGGGTGCGTGCGCTCACCAGACAGACAGAAAGAGACATAGAGACAGAAAGCAGGAAATCACCCCCCAGGGGGGATGGCCACGCCACAATCCCTTCTCCTCCATTCTCCTCTCAGGATCTTGGGCACGCATGCACACGTACCCGGCGGGAGTTTAAACCACCGGGTCCGGGACTCGAACCGCATTCAACTACGTGGGAGTCCAGTGACATAACTATTATGCTAACTGCTGGTCCCGAGCTTTGGAGAATTTTAGCTCATCTCTCCTTCCCCTGCTTCTCACAGATAACAATGAATGCACCTCTGACATCAACCTGTGCGGGTCTAAGGGCATTTGCCAGAATACTCCTGGAAGCTTCACCTGTGAATGCCAGCGGGGATTCTCACTTGATCAGAGCGGTGCCAGCTGTGAAGGTAGGTGACCCAGCTGTGGAGCTGATGGAGGTGGCCTGTGTGGTCATTAGTACCTTCCACATCATCGTCTTGCGGTATCGGTTCTGAGCCCAGAGCTAACACCTAAGTGAAGATGGAAATACTTGACCTGGCTTGAATAGGTTCCATACCTTAGAGGTTCATCTTCTGTCTCATGCTTGATTGTGTCTAACACATGTCTCTGCTAGGTATATCAAGACTTTTTCTGCTCAGTTATTTATTTAATCGAGTAGAGAGTAACTCCGTCAAGAAAAATAGCAGGATTCCTGGTCACTGGATCCAGATCGATAAAATGATTTCCCCAATGAGGACTAGACAATAATTTTAGTATAGATAAGCATACACAAATAATTATCAGAGCCATTCCATAGAGTGCTTTTGTGCTTTGCACTGATGTTGTTATTATTTGTATTTGTAGATTTTGCCGGGACCTCTGAATATTTTTTGCCTTGGACTTTGCAAAAGCTCCATAGTAGATATTCTTAAAGTTTGGGTGGTAGAATAATTTTTTTAAGAGAGATTTTTTTTGCTATAGGGTACATGCACTCACTAGGGACACAGAGAGACAGAAAGTGAGAAATCACCCCGTGGGAGATGGCCAGGCCACCATCCCTTCTCCATTTTCCTCTTGGGATTTTGGGCACACGTGCACATGCACTTGGGATGAGTTTCAAGCCACTTGGTCCAGGACTCAAGTAGGCAATGGGGAAGTCCAGCACCTTAACCAGAATTCCACCTGCTGGATCTGGTAAGATAATGTTTTAAGAATGAGATTTCTCATGAGAATTGCCATTCATGGGGCTGGCAGGTGGCGTAGTGGTTAAGGATGCTGGTTTCCCACATGGCCAACTGAAGTTCAAGTCCTGGACCTGGCAGCTTGCTTTCTCACTTTTCCTCTCTCTCTATCACTCTGTCCCTCTCTGGTCAAATTTAAATAAATAAATTTAAATAAAATAATTATTTTAAA